AGTCACCTAGGCACTGCAGGTTTCGGGACCAGGACGGACTCTGTAAGCGTGCCAAGCTTCATTCCTTAGTGACACGCCTTTTCGAGTTCTACTTTGATGAACGACTATGGCTTGGAGGAACGAAGCCGCCCAGTTTTTGAAACAGTTACGATCAAATTGCTGAAGCGGCCAACAAACTGAATCCAGGCGTTGTCAGGAGAGCCGCCTTTCAAGAATACCCAATTTGTCATTTCAACTAGGTCGGTCAGGAGGTTGTAGCGTGTGATACTACGTGTTAATTCAGTGTGTTCCTCCGGATATCCAGCCTAACACCCAGTTGTAACATATAGTAGGAGGTCTGCTAATGTCCTGTCAATCATAATTCCCACATTTGTAAGTATGAGGTCTAGTATCGAGCGTTTATTATCAGCTCTGTATCTAGCAGGTGAGGTGATGTGACTGCACTAGGGGATGTCGAGGTGTCCAGATCATACAGCTTGAAATCGTTCATATTAGACGGGAATCCATCGTTGGAGTGGACGCAGGGAAGCAATGAACGACCACCAAGAAACAATTGTCATTATATCTGAGACCCAAACCGCACCATAGCGAAACGGGGACCCACATCTCCGGATCATCCAAGGCTTCGCATTGCAGGATGTTACCATAGCATAGGATCACACCAACACCTTTGTTGGGACAATCGTTTTGGAACAATGACACTCCTTGAATTGCAGTCCCGTTATCCTTAACCCCTAAGCGCAACCGTCTCAATTATGGAAATGAGATCCCAAGCAACTGTTGTCTGACGCAGCCGAAACCCGGCAATTTTTCATGATTAGGCCTTGGGTGTTGGTGTACAAGCAGGAAAGCTTTTCGGTTCGCAGCAGCTAACCGAATGACATGTGGCTAATATATGACATTGTACCGACCGTTGTATGGTCGGTCGCTAGCGGTTTCCTAATGATATTATATGATATATATATACATATACAATATATATATATATTTATATATGATATCGGTGAGTCGCTTAGAGTTGGGTTCGGTGGCATCGTACATGACCCCTCTGACAACTCATTTTGCACAGTGCATGGTATGTGGTTATACGATCGTACAGAATGATCCTTACTTACTTCAGATCGTATAATAATGTGCGATCCGACAGGGTCCGCACTTCATGTTTCTGCTGATGTGTTGATATAACTTAGGCGACAGTTTCGCTGGCCATTTTGAACCGGAGCTGGGTTGGCAGTTCCAAAGAGACTACCGTTGTTCCACCAGCCCAGGTACCAGCTTCCCAGTTGGAAGCACAACCTTCAATATCCTTGGACCGTACCTACTTTAGCTTGCTAGCTAGCAGCTTCAAGAGAGAAGCAGCCATAACGTGATTTAAGAACAGCGCCACATGAATGTGACGTCACGGCTTCTGGTCGTGAGTCACTACTTCGCATTAATTGTGCACACTAGACTAGAGATGCCAAGGATAAAAACGGTTTTATTTACAGGGTCTACGCAAAACCGTACTAAATTCTCTTTCGATCGCTTGCACTCGCCCCATGGAACGTCGGAAATGACACTGGTCAAACGGGATCCGTTCTGGAGACGAGCTATTAAAAGCAAGATGGCTTACACCTTATCGACGGAGTTTAACACATCTCGTAGAAGCATGGCTTAACCATAGTACTTGGGGTTCTGGTGACGAGTACTCTTCGTCAGTTTGTCAGGCTCAGTCGGAACATCGAGTAGGTTGCTTATAGTGTTCCACTGGCTTAGATAATCCATCTGCTTTCTGTTTGATGAATTCGATGTTGACTTTGGAACGTTGGTGTATATGGTGGATAGGTAATCCCGTCGTTGCTGAGTGTCTTTCAACGGTGTATTGGTCGTGGTTGGGAGGCCGGCGATTTGCTGCACATCAGTGCAGTATCGCCTTTTACATTTGTCTCGGGTGTGGTAGTACAAACTGCAGCTGCTGATTTTGGAGTGCTCTTGGTTGCAATTACGGCCCAGTTGTCACTGGCATTAGCTTGCACCAGAGTTTGGGCGAAGCTTGTTTGGAGGAAATTAGGGGGAAGTTTTGAACATGGACTAGAGTGAAGAGTTCGAGAACGGCTTGGTGATCTGGAGTAGTGGCATATGCGACTCGGTTGGTTGAAGGCCTGGCTTTGCGGATATTGTTTGCGGTGCAGTTCGTCGGAGAGGCTTGCCACATATATTCTGCCATGCTTGTTCTTATAGAAGCTGTTTTCGTGAGCAACATATGAGTAACCATTTCTGCCGGCCTTTCCTGCTTTTGGGGCAGTGCAATAAATATCGTAACTGATGCAAAAGTATTAGACTTCACGCGGAACCAAATTAAGCCTGGCCTACTGTTGAGCGGCCTAAATTCGATTAGATTCAGGTAACCAAATTTAGCATAGAAATGGGTGGAGTAATTAGCACAGTAAAGTGTTATTTTGGCTATCTCATTGCAAGTTCCACAGGCGCCTTTGGGCACAGCGGGTCGGCCACTTGCGTCCAGCAGGTCACGTGAACTTAGCGTCCACGATTAGGCTACCCCGGACCCTAGATTGCTTGCTCCGGTGCCAAGGTCAGTTTGCTGTCTTAATCACTCTCTTTCGCGGCCGCGCGCAGATTGCCGGCTTCAGTGATCATCCGCCTCTCATTTGTGCGCACACACCCACACGAAGATGAGGCATGTATTGACCGGCCCGCGGTACGCGACGAGCCACAGTGGTCGCTGAGAATCATTAGCTTCCCTGCGATGTTTAGCGTGGAATCGACCCAAAATGTCCTGTAGCTTCGTTATGCTGCAGCAAACAAAGATAGTCACGGAGTTGTTTGAGTGTTCTCAGCTCCATCTTCCAAATGAGACCAGAAATACACCGGAACAGCTCAAGAGTGATGCAGTCGCAGGCGCAAGTTTCGGCAGGGAATGTGCCAAAAGTGTGAACTGAAGCAACAACATGATCAACACCAGCTAGATCCAAGACGAAAGCATTAAGTATCGCCTGTCGAACTGGTCAGAATAAGTGTACGCATAAGAATATGCGACGAGAATTGGAATGGCAACCCCGGAAGAACGGCGATAGAGCGCGGCCTTACGGCGAGCAGTGTTACGATTTGTGGTCCCATTACCGATCCCTGGGGAACCCTACGGTAGGCTTCAGTTTGTTAAGAAATATCGCTGCGAACTCTCGTCTTCAGCTGACGTTGAACGAGGAAGTTGCTTATCTCGCCCATCACAGGGTCACTGGTTCTGTTGCTTCCAAGCTTAAGAAGCAGTATGCGGTGTTCCAGTCGGTCGAACGCTTTTAATAAACCCAAGAATGAGACGTCCACTCATAAGCTGGTATTGACAGATGTAGCGGAATGCGTGCTACTGTGATCCTATCTTGGGATTACTCCAAAGACATCCTACAGGCGTCTCGACGATAATACCTTCTACAACTTTGGATATAACCATGAGGAACCTATCGTACGGTAGTTCGATGGCCTTGAAATATTGACACTGTTGTTAATAGGAGTGACTATTTCATGTTTCTACATTGTGGGAACTTGGATTTCTCCAATGCACCGTTGAAGAACCGAGCTAACAGTGTAGCGGTGTTTATTGTGAATGCTTTTAATGCCTTGGAGTGTATGTCGTCCACAGTTGGATCGCTGTGCACACCAAAGACACTATCATTTTCATTACACATGCTGAGGTGAAGGGTACGTAGCTTAACGATGGGACCGGTGTGAGCTGTCAAAGATGGGGGAAGTGACCGTTCTCTCTGCAAAGTACGTATGGAGTGTTGTCTATCCACCTTTGCCGTTTTAGTTAGCACCAGACAATGTGGTGCAAGCAGAACTATGATTCCAGGTTTCAATCGTCGCAGACTATTGATGTGCCTGTAGAACGCTTTAGGATTGTTACTACAATACTTCGCTGAATCTTATTGGCTTCTCAGACCAATTTGGCGCTATGGTTTCGTTGAGTTTTGTGTATGTCCCGCACGTGCACACGCGGACAGGCCTTATAAGCGTGACAGGCTGAATTCTTGAAGGCCCTGCATTTTCGAGTCCGTCTTCTCAGGAAGTACTCTACCTGATTCAAATGAAAACCTATCTTTTCTATGCATTTGGCACTAGCCCGGTGAGCTGGGCGACGAGCTTCCTCCAGGAGACATCGGGATGCTCTAGGGCTAGGAAATGTCAGTTAGTTGTCTGCACTAGTTCAAACAAGCTATCATACTGGATAATGAGGTAAGCTTCGTTTTTACTTCCCCTGGTGTATTCCTCGTGGGAGATGTAACAGCAGGATCTCACATTACTGCTGTGGCCAAACGGTGCATCTATGATCACCGTAGCAACCATAGAAATGCCCTGTGTTACTCCGGGCTGCAAGCATCCTAGAATTAGAAACAGCTCCTGGTTACTTAGAAACTAACACCTGCAATGTCAACATAAGGAATCAGCTTAGCACTAATTCAAGAAAACACCCAGTACTGTCTTTTCAACAAGATTTTGAGGGATTGACATGAGCCCTAGATTTGGTTGGTAAGAATAACCCAACTTGCGTATGTATTTAACTTTAAGATGCCCATACATAGTATTGGGTATTAGTGTTCGAAGCAACTGCGAATTGTTTCAAGATGAACCGAGCAACCCATTTAGACCATACGTCAAAAGCGGACAACACACCGGATAGTGCTACTGGAACAACGTTATAGCAAATAAATTCTCTACCTTTTTACAAGCGTTACTAGAGGAGTGGGGTGTGACATTACTAAGGGCGCTAGACCGGTGGTGCTAATGCTGTTCGTCAGCAACGGACATGCTAACGCGATGGACTAAAGTGACGATGGGAACTTTAGCTGGGTTCAATGCCTGATATGAGGGGAGTGAAAACGCATAATGTTAATGAAGATGAAACAGAAAATTCACTAACGTTCGTTTTGGTTGGTTTCGTAAAGCAACGTTTTAAATTTTCATTCATGAATATGATTCAGAAACCTACTTTTCCACATTTTCAGTTGCAAGATAAAATCAATCTCAAGCGAGTGCGTTGCACAGAACACGGCTGCAACTGGACTGGAAAGCTGGCTGAGCACACCTCGCATGAGCACCGGTATTATACGGCAAGTGAGCTGAATCTATTGGTGTCAAGTAACCGGAAAAAAGTTAGCAGCAAACGGATCCAAACAGGCACATTGCCAGAGGTGTTGGCAGGGAACTCAAATACAGAGACCTCATCAGATACAGAACAACATAACGAAGCGCGAGATTCCACTGTTACCTCATTCCCATCAGCAGATACTGGTGCAATCCCGTCTGCATGCCGACCTTTGGTATCATCATTAGAGTGCTTGGACGGCAGTGAAGTGGATGCTGTGGACCATCGCCCTGGACTGGCCCATCTCCAAATGTATTACGATGCAGCAAGAGAATTGTCTTCCCCAAGCCAAATTGAAAGGGGTGAATATGCCTACTCATCTAATTCATCCAGATACGGAGAAACAGCATCCAACAGAACTTGTAGCAACATTTTAAGCAGATGTTCCGCTCGCCCAATTGCAACCAACCGAAATAGACCGCCGTCCACAAACAGAGCAAGGTACGCCGAAACATCGGACAGCATAGGGCGTCGACTCCTGCCACAGCACGAACGCTTCTTGACACTTAATTCACTTCGAGTCCCAGATGATACTAACAACCAAGGTGTGGCAGAAACAGCTTATGAGTCAGATCTTTCAGGACTAATCGCAGCTAGGATTCCAAGGCTCTTACCATTACGAACGACACCCAGGTTTTGCTCAGAATCAGAGGCAGAGTTCCACTATCCAGCGAACGTGCTGTTCCCTGCAACGACTTCAGCCTCTAGTAGGGGTCGCATGTGTGAGGATGCCACTCTGCTGCCAAATCTCCGTGAAGAAGATGAAGTAAATCATGCATCATCCGGACTACGGAGGGAACGTGTGATACTTCCGGAAATAAATTCCGGATCTTTAACTCACCTAAGAGCGCCTGCACGGAGTTGCAACAGAAGAAACAGTAATGAGCATAGCGGTGCGCAAGAAGAACAAACGGATATGATGCAAGCGCCAGAGGGGATGCAATCTCGACCACTGGAGTTCCGTCGCTTAGCTCCAAGGCGACACAACCGTGTGCTTGAACAGCTGCATGAAACGAGGGAGCAGCTGGCTGCGATGCTCCGCCTTATGACACTGGAGTTAGAAGAAAGACGGCAGCAGATATTAACCACGGCATTAGAAACTGCATCCCAAACGCGAGCTCTGCGAAGCTTAAACACTCAGCTAGCAACTCACTTGGAAGAAACTAGGGGAGAAGGTGCCAATTTGTTTGAGGAAACGGCAATTCATGAACAAAACAGATGTGTGCAGGCAGTTGGAGAACAGCAAAGCAACGGGCTGGCTGATTGCTCGAACGTCTCCAGAAACATGCCCACCCATAACGAATTCAACCAAACGACACGCAACGGACAAGCTTTGCAGGATCTGGTAGATAGAATACTAGGCAATCAGGCGGAACTGGTCTCAAGACTCGAGGAAATACGATCTTCATCAACGGACGAAGGCCAGCAACCGGAAACAACTCCAACGGAACTGAATGAGCGGGGATTTATCGCACCCTACAATCCAAGGTTACTGACAAGACTGCGGATAGGCACGATGAGACGAGCCCCACTTCATTCAGTGCTTTTAGTTTCAAGTAGACATGACTTAGATCATTTGTTGTTTGAACGAAGTGAGTCGCAACCAATGGTTAACGAGTGGTCTGTCGGCGGAAGGAGAGTCGGCGACTTTCATGACGATGACGAACGTCGCGCATTTTGACCTGAACTTCTCTACCAACTACATCCCATGGCGGCTTCCGACCGTTACGAAACGCTGTGAAATTACCAAGCAACTGTCGCTTCTTGCAAGAGTCAGATATATGAACGTTTCTATCCATGTTTTGCCATATTATCCGCTGTAAACCTGAGTACTGTGAAGAATTGACTTCTCCACACTACTTGGGACTTCAAAAATTTTGGGAGACAGCAGTTCAGTCGGGTATATGATTGCTCAGGTAAGAGTGTAAGGATGATGAGTTGTTAAACTCCCAACTGCATTGCATTACAGAGATCTGCGAATGGACAGGGTATTCGGCAGCACAATGAGAGCAGAATGAAATCCAGTTACTTGAGTTCGTATAAGCACAAGATTCGGGTAGGGTAAATCACTGTGACTATGAAAGTTGTAGTCGTATAACGCAATGTGAATACGTATCCATCCATATATCATTGGAAAAATGCTGGATACAATTACCAGGTGCTCGATCTTGCGCGACTGAAACACTGACATGCAGAACAACCAGCTGATGCGGCACCGTAGCTAAGGTGCTTCCCACCTCTAGCTAATGTGTATAGTGATGTCGATGAGTTGATACATACCATAGGATGTACATAAATAAAAGGTGGGATAAAACAGGGACATTAACCATTTTATCAGGTTAAGTGACAACGGGAGGACTAGGCTTAGTGGGGAAAGCTGGAAAATTAGTTGCCAGTGGGAAGCAAACAAGGTTCCGACAGTTGCTTTGGAAACACGCATACTAAGAACATGAACATCCTGTCTATAGCATCATATGTCCTGAGTGAAAATCGAAGACGTACCTAGAGCTGCAGTAGTAGTGCGTTCATCTACTGCAGGATAAACTCGAATTTGCGCTCCATAGTCGCGGAACATCCTATTTCAGATTTTCGAATGTGTATGTCCAATTTAGTGTAGGTGGGATGATAGGCACCCGTGCGTTGAATAAGGCCACCAGCCCTTTTCTCGTTAAAGAACAGAAAAAGTATCCCGAAAGCCTGTGCTAGGAAAGCCACAAGGCGGTTTATCATTGTGTTTGGTGTTGCAATATGTGCACGTACGCAGCGTAGCCTAGACGAAACTTGCGACAGAAGAAATAGCTATGTGGTGCTTGAAGAGTATACACGTCGGTTACGACGCTGGCGGCATAATGGAACCGCAAACAGTGCTAACAGTAAACCACCGAAGATGTATATGTCAGAACAATGGAGCGCAGTTATTATAGTCCTTGAGCACCTAATATACCAAGTCAACCAAATTCTTTGGCTTATTTTATCTATTTCCACCCCTCGTATGCACTGCGGTTGCTTCAACATGTGAACGCTAATGCTAAATGGAAATAGCTAACCGGCACCTGGGAATCTGGGAAGGCAATGAAGCATTTCTGGGACACTCGTAATTCTTGCGTACCGACTGATACACTCATGGTTCCAAACCACAAGCATCCGTACTCTTGGGTTACTGCCCGAGGAATGTTATATTTCAGTTCAAAAACCACCTTAGATACTTCTAATGTGGCGCCAGTAGCGGGATAGGATTCCTGTACTTGAGGTGTGACGACACAACATCAACCTCCTCAATTATCATCTATCAATACCAGGAACTTATTTTTAACGAAGTACTTGACTGGGCGTGAAATCATTCTGTGTAAATAAGGCTAGTCGATAACCTTACCACTCGCCTTGGGCTAGTGAGGTTATCGATTAACTTTAACCTTGCCGTTGTATACCATACTGATTCCACAAATTTTTGACTCTCCGTCGGGTTAAATAGGAACAATGACACCATGTAAAAAGCCAAGCACCTAATCATTCTCATAGGATGGCCAGAGTAGGAAGTACAAAATGGAAAAGAAAGCATGACAGAAAGAAACACATTTTGGTGCACTCACCATAGTGTTCACAGCGGTATGCTTAAAGGAGTTTAGAAAGATTGTGCGGAGAACCGTTGACTGACGCCGGAAGGTCAACCTCTGTCATCTGCATGGTAGGTTGCTACATGGCAATGGAGGATGGGTCGGACTATATCACAGTTAGCAAACAATTCAAGATGGTCGGCCACTGTCCCCCATGGTTCAATGGCATAAGCTGCGGGCTAGTTGGCGCAAGCCACGAGCAGCCATGGGTTCGATCCTCGGAAGAGGACCAAAGGATGCGTACTACTGACTAGCCCCAATAGGGTGAACCTGAAGTCTAGGGCTTTTTCGGATTTATAGTTAAGTTAGCTGAATGGTTGGCCGATTGAGACGAACTCAAAACTCGCCAAATTCCTTCTAATCGTAAGTAACTGGTGTACCGCTTGCTATGTTATGTCGTCGTAATGTATGTGGAATAGGCTAACGTCAAAGCGCTTTGAACCACAGCTTATGAAGAAGGCAGAATGAAACGTAAACCGCGAGGACGTGTTACGTTTGGCGTGCAGAAGAGTATTTAACGTCCAGCGCCATTTTAGCCTGCTGTAATGCGTGGCCAACTTGAACTAGCGGCCTCCCGAGGTTCATGTTGTGACTAATCTGCAGAAGGTGGCGCTAGATGTAGTTTGGGTTCTTCAGAAAGTTGTAGGTAATCGTTAGATCTCCCTATTGGCACCGGTACTAGCCGCTCCACCTCCTCGGCCTAAATTGATATGTTAGGTGGAGCAATCCTTTGTCATACTTCCTGTCTACTCATTGTAGCTTCGAGCGCAGCAAAATTTTACTGGTACTAAGATTACCAGGCCTGGATTGTTTACCCAACAAGAGGCCGCACGTATCGGCGAGTAGAAAGGTGGACCCAAACACCCGAATGCAATCCGCATAAGACAGACGTGTTTGTTCCCGGTCTTTTACGAATCAAATCGCTTTAACACGGCCAGCCAAATTAGCATGGTGAACTTGCGCTCCTGCGTGACTGTATGCAAAACATGATCCCCAACTTGTGTATGCTGTTCGACTGAGGATAAGTATGGACCGTCACACAATTGGACAAATTAAAGGAACAGAATGTGAAATGCGCATTAATTCATACGCGTTAGATCTCCCTGAGATACGTAACGAACTCCTTGGCCGACGATCACTATCCAAATCTTAAAAGAATAAGTAAAATATTAGAAGTCCGACGTGACTACTGTATCACTGGTCATCATCATCATTACACGCTAGCTGGAGGTGAAAAACACCTCAGCTATTGTGCCGCAATACAAAAGGCAAGAAAAGGAAAACAAACAGTGGCAAGCCCGCTGAGTCCCCAGTAACGGATGGACATCATTCCGGAGAGCTAACAGCTGGCTGCCGTAAAAGAGAGTCATATTATACCTATCAAGTGAGATCATGCTTGGAGGGGGGATGCTAAGCAGGAGGGGGATGGACAAAGGAACTCACAACACAAACGCCATTGGGGTCGGCTCCAAGCCATATCAGCGAGTGTGTCCAACCAAACGTGTTCACCATCCTTAGGACCCAGGCCAGGCAATCGGGATGCACCAACCGACGCCAACTTCGAAGTGAGGGTTTTCATTTCTCTCGACCAAGTCATCACTTGGCCTCCCCTCCTACTTTTCCAACCGCACCCACAACGCGCAAACAATGCACGTCGCGGGAGTCGGTGTGCTGGCATGCGCAACACGTGGCCCAGCCATCGGAGCCTGGTGAGTGATATAATGGTGCTGAGCGGTTCACTCGCTCTTCCTGCACCAAATACGCGACGCAGAACACGCTCATTGCTCACGCGGTGCTCCCACCAGACATGAGCTAAGCTGCGAAGGCAGCGATGATCGAATGTGACGAGCCTCTTCATGTCCGTCGACCTGATGGGCCAGGTTTCACAGCCATATAAGAAAGTAGAACGGACGGCTGCGTTGTAAACTCTGCCCTTCAGGGCGAGAGTAATGTCGCGTCTGCGCCACAGGTGACGGAGATTGGCAAAAGCACCTCGAGCTTTTGCTATACGGTTCGTAACCTCATCTTCAATCCCACGGGTGCTAATATAGCTGCCCAGGTACTTGAATTCCTGAACGACGTCTAGCAGATCACCACCAAGCGTTAGCGCAGGGTTGGGTCCCTGCCAATCTTGGAGAAGTACTTTGCATTTCGATGGAGCAAAGCATAGCCCAAAACGATTGACAGCCAGTGCTAATCGATCCAGTGCTATTTGGCATGTTTGGGAGCTGTCACAGATTAGGGCAGTATCGTCTACATACTCCAAGTCAAGAAGTCGCTCACCAGGAAGTACGTCCCCACCTTCTAGGTCGTGTTCAACGAACGCTGTTTCCATGACTTCATCAATAGCGAAGTTGAAGAGGAAAGGTGACAGCGGGCGTCCTTGTCTACACCGCTGGTGATCCTGAAGGGTGGCGAGAGTTTGCCATAAACCCTCACCCTGCCCGAACTATGCGCGTACAGCGCTTTGATAATGTTTACATATTTATCAGGCACACCTTTCCTCAGCAGACAGTTCCAAAGGGCACATCGATCGACTGAGTTGAAGGCATCTTTTATGTCATGAAACACGACAACGGTGGGTCGCAAATAAACGTGGTGGTGCTACAACACTTGACGCAATGTGAAGATGTGGTCGATGCAGCCCTGACCTCGACGAAATCCGGCTTGCTCTTCACGAATCTGGCTTTCACGAGTGCCAGTCAGTCTGTGGAGAATGACGGAGGCAAGCAATTTAGAGGCAATCGAAATCAGACTGATCCCTCTATGATTGCTGCATTCCAAACGAGAGCCTCCCTTGAAAATTGGGACAATGACGGAGCGGTTCCAGTCTGTCGGGACTGTCTCCTGCTCCCAAAGTTTTACTAGCAACTGGTGTATATAATCTATTAGAGTAGGTCCCTCGAATTTGAAGAGGGCTGGGGGAATTCTATCTGCCCCTGCGGCCTTATGCAATTTCAACAGACTGATCTCACGTTCGACTTCTGCGAGTGATGGCGGATCCAGGAAGACGGCCCAGGAGGAAAGGCGCTCAATGCCCCGAAGAAGAAAGCGATAACTCAAGTTGATTAAATTGTCTTGCAAAGTGTTCAGCCCAACGCTCCAAGCGTTTTGACAGGCTGTGGATCGGCTGCCTACTCTCGTCGCGTATAGTCTCGCTAACACCAGGTCTTCTGCTGCCTCTTTCCCGTATCATACGGAATGTTACGATGATTACCAACGGCAGCGGCTGTTTCCATCCCAG